ACATACAGAAAATTCCTTAAGAAGAAACTTCAAGTTACAAATGTGAGCATTACAGATCCMCAGAATTAAAAATTGTTTTTCTCGTGCTGTTTCAGAACCTCTGTGACCATGCCACCTTCGGAGTACTCCAGGAGCATTTCTTAACAGGTAAAAAATGAGGAAATTTCACAGTGCTCTGTGTCTCAGAGTTCTGGTTCTTCTGTGCTCTTAACGGGAAGGCAAAGCTCAGGAACAAACTAATAAGTCTGGGTCCATAGAGCAAGTCATCTCATCACTACAAAGCCTGTTTGAGTCCCTGGGCTGTATTGACATAGATGTAGTGCGATGTATCTTAGTCATAGCTGGCAYGACCATGTGGATATTTAGCTCTTCATGGAAGTTGCCAATCAATGCTGACTTCTGTCCGTCCTATGGTAGCAAAACTAGTAGTTTCATTAAAGCAGAGATATTTTTGTAGTACTGGTTCATCTCTCTAAGGATCATGCAAAATCAGAGTAATTCAAAGAGGGATATTTTCTACAGTGAGAGTCTGAATAAGCTGGGATTCAAGAAACTGGCTGACATGATGACRTTGTCTAAAAAAGAGGGAGGAAAAGAGGACTTCTCATTCTCCAATTCAACACCAAAGCAAAACACAGAACTTGGTTAGTCAGCTTAAAAGCTAGTGAAGTTTTTCACATGGTATGCAATAATTATATCAGGGAACTAGGTTCAATAATATGCATGAGAATACAACCATTTGCATTCTAAGCGATTAACTAGGATTATGTAATCAATCTAAGTAATGAGCTGAGATTGACAGARAAATAAAGGCAGAAATCCCTTTCCCAAGAATGGAAATTTCTCCCAGATTGTGGTGTAACACTTTCCAGTTAGGCATATGAAATTATGGCTGTGCCCATCACCAACTATACTTAAATGCAGTTAATTACATTGTCAGTCCACCAAAGATGTGATTAACTCTTTTAGCCTTGCAGAAAATGGCTCCTATTTTCCTTTTGGGATTGGTGTCCACCGCTACCTGTCCCCCAGGGAGGCAGTAAACTGGACACAAAGGGCACCGAGTCTTTAGAACTTAGCCCACTGTCTAGCTACATCTAAATTAGGCTTTCAGCTTTATGCCGACATGATTAAATACTCTTATTGCCTGATTTTGTCTGAGGGTTRTATCTGTGCTATGAAACTGCCCTGATACACACATCTGTGATTTTTATAATGGTAGAAGACCATGAACTCAGATCGCTGTTCTCAGTGCCAAGGTTTTACAGAATCACTATTGCAAAATGGGTTGGTTTGTACCTGCTGGATTGGTCAAGCAAACTAAGGGACTGCCGTGGGCCTCCGAGGGAGACATGCCCTGTCAAGTTGCATAGGACCAGCATGTGACTGGGTTTCACTCTTAGCCTTTAGCACAACTAGTCTGACAGACTATTTCTTGGTAGTGGCTGCCATGCTTCTAGGAGAACTTTCCATATATAGCAACATAGAGGTTTTTGTGCATGCTTTTAAGTCTTCAAGTTGATTGATGCGTGCTTGGGTTGCGTTTCCTGAAGCTAATAGGGCAACTCATGGGAGTATGGAATAAGAAAAGCACAGGGCTTGCCAAGTTAGAAACTGTATGTCTATGACAGATGCATTACGTTCTATCTTTAATAAAGGTGCTGAAAAAAAAAGACAAGCAGGCAATTCACACGAGCACTCTTGTGTTGGTATTTGTGTAACTTTTGCATCCCACTGCTTGAAGTGTAAGATCTGTTTTGTCTCATGTGAATCAAAACCACTTAGGGTTTCAGCAAAACCTCAGAAGAAATCTCCCCTGGTTGAAAAAATAAAATCCGTTATGGTAATTAAACTCAACAGCATGATAATGCTTTATGGATTTTCAGAAATTAGGTCAGTTCGTGTACAACAGGCGAAAGTGTAGTAGGGATTGCAGTTGTAGGTGCTCATTGTACATGCAGATGAGTTCTTCCTGAAATTCCTTTCCAGCCTAGCACTGCTAGATTTTGACATCTCCTTAAGTTTGAGTCTAATTCAATAAGAATAACCGTGCCCTGCTCACTGGCATTTGCCAGGTCTTATGGTTTCTCTTGATTCAGGAGTTATAAATCTCTTACAAAGAAAAATAAATACTTCATAGTGCACAAGGAAATGGTTGCTGAGCTCAGTGGGAGGGTGTTGCTGGCAATAATCATGAGGTGACTAAGTCCAGCAGTTTATCTGCGAGATGGAGATGGCAGGCATTTGGGAGCATGTGTTTGTCGGGCGTAGAGTCACTTTTCTAAAATATTTGCATTTATTGATATAATGCAAAGAAGAAAAAGATTTCCAGGTTTCTTTTGTTATCTCCCAGAACCCTTGAGAGCAGTATGGATTTTGAAACGATTAAAAATGAAAGAAAAAAAGAAAGAGAGGAAGTAGACAGGAGCAAGATAATAAGATGCTGTTCACCAGTTGTTGACCCAGTTAACCACTGGTTACCAGCAGAGCAGATAATAAAAAAAGAGAACATAAGTTCTCACTAAGGTTTGYTGGAATAGCGTTCTGTAAGTTACTGGGGACAGAGGATGCAGCTTGCACTTGAGTCTTCTGCCTACCCACAAAGTGACCTCGCACAGCTTACCTGCACTGTGCTGCAGGTTGTTTCTGTAGTTTCTTGATTCACTGTGACAATAAGGTTTAGTTTATTAACTGTATGCCTAGCTCCTGCAATTTTTTTTTGGTGGAAATAACATRAATAAGTGCAAGCTACTGTAACCAGCTTCATCTCTTTACCATGTTAATTAACTACRGGCATATATTTGTTATTATAAAACTTGTGCTTTTCATATCTGTTAGGTAAACTAGGGCATTGAGTGCGAAAGTGATGCCCAAGGACATGCAGTGCTCTCTGAGGAGTATTTAGCCCATAAGTCATGGAGTGAAGAGCATGGAGTAACTCATAATGAGGAGACTTCGATCAGTGGCAAGCCATTCCATGTTGTCCCTCCGTAAGAAAAATTTGCACTAACTTCTTTCAGACTGGAAATTTGACATATCCCAAGATGCAGAATATCACCTAGAATGTGATAGCTAAATTGAAGGATTTTTTATTTCTTTTTAAATTTCATGCCCATGGTACAAGCAAAATACATGAGATGCCTCTTGCTTTACCTGATATCTGTGAGGTATAACAGACTGAAAAAGAATTTCTTCTTACCTGAGAATTTTTGAGTTTGTGATCATTAAGTAGCCCTGAAAACAGGATTCTTGCACAACTAAGTCAGGCAATTGCACAAAAGATAAAGAGAAAAATATTCTAGTTTCATATACAAAGCAAACCCTTATCAGTGCTAGTTGGAAACTGGAGGGTCACTCTAAAAGGCAGTTTGCCATCTCCCCTCAGAAAATCACGTGTCCTGAAAGTGAAGAGAGGAAGACAGAAGCTGATACCCAAGATAAAGTAGAAAGTCTAGAACAGAAGAAAGATCTGGGTTAAATACTGCAGTAGTAAGGTAGTCTTAAAATAGATTCTGGATAGACAAGAGCTGTKCAAGGTGAGTGGGTGTAGCAGCACATAAAAGAGAAAAGAAAAAGAGCCAATTACTACATTTCTTTGAACATACATCCATCATGCCAAATTCAGCCACCCCTCTCAGAATTTGCTACCATCCAAAATAACCCTTGACATTCTGGTTTCTCCCATTTGCCTTTGCATCTCTACCWAAGTGCTATCTGAACACCACCTCCTGCTCTTCTTCACTTCCGCTGATCTACTGGGAGATCAGTGACAGATCTCCACATCTTTGGGGTAAAAAAATACTCAGTATGTTTTTGAGGTGACGGTGCAGCCACATGCCCAGGAATGTGTATTAAAATCATTGCTGGGATGCAGCTGMATGATTAGAGGCCTGTGTGCTTTTAATTTCTCCATTTATTTACATCATCCAGTGTTTCAGCACATGCTCTTGAACTCAGACAGTGACTGATGGATGTGTTTGCAGTGACTTGGTTGGTCACTTTATACACAATGATAAACCCACTGTAGCAGTTAATGAGGCCAGTGAAGCAACCAGAAAGGAGATGTATAATGGTGTAGCATGGGTCTGTAAGCACAGTACTGCCGAGGCTTCATAAGTGCAATGAAGCAGCTCCTCAGCAGCTGAGCATTCTCCTTGGACAGTCTCAGCATGGATTTTAAGACTGAAGTGCTGCTGTGTCCATATCCCTCCTGCACTCTCTCCTTGGAGAGCCCATGGCTCTTACTCTTAAAAATCTGYATCTTTCATGTGTTTATGACCTTGGAATCAGCCATTTTTGCTTCATTTTCATTACAGATGTGGGTCAGGGTCTGGCTTGCCTTCCTTCCTGGCCTGTTCCCTGAACATTAAACCCACTCTGGGGAGCTCAGCAGCTCCCACATGCTCTCCAGGTACATCCTGCCRGAGAAGGAGCTGCAGCAATCCTGTAAAGGAGAAATGCCTTCCCATGGCTGCCCTACACAGGCACCTTTCTAGGGATATAAATCTTAGAGGCCCTTCTAGGAATATAAACCCTGACAAGAGAGCGAAGGGCGCTCCAGCATCCCCATCGCATCCGCTCATAGTGCAGAGTCTTGCTGCCGCAGACATCCTCCTGGGCAGGACGTGCAGAAGCTGGTCACCAAGTTGCATGATTTCCTCCGGAGCCCTGGGGAAATGCCTCCGTGTAGGGAGTGGATCCACGGTTGTTTTATACCCCGTGCGGGGCAGTGCTACAGCAGTAAGAGCTGTGGGAGGCCGCCCAAGCCGCGGACCCCTGCTCCTAACCCATCGTTTCTCTTTGCCTAGATGGGGACCGTGCGCCGGCGCGGGATGGGGAGCCGCTAGCGCGAGGTTCCTGCGCCTTGCCATGACGACGAGCCGCTGCAGCCACCTGCCCGAGGTGCTGCCCGACGGCCCGGCCCCGGCCGTGGGGAAGAGCAGCACCGGCGGCGGCACCGCTCCCGCTCCCGTTCCTGTTCCCGCTCCTGGTCCTGCTCCCGCTGCCGGTGCAGCCAGCGGGCGCCCGCGCTATGTCATGCAAGTGTCGGCCAAGGACGGGCAGCTGCTCTCCACCGTGGTGCGGACGCTGGCCACGCACAGGTARAGCGGGCACGGGGCCCGTCGTGGCGTCGCGTGAGGCTGGGAAAGCGCCAAAATTGTGGTTGTGGGYAAAACGCATGGCCTTTCTGCTTGGGCAGCAGCGCTGGGAGACAGCAGTTAAATCTCATTGCAGCTTTGTAATGACTGAGGTAGGTGGGTATGCTGCTAAGCTGTCCTCATCACACTTAGCATAAGGATGAAGGAAACCAGGTGGGAATGCRCCTGCTCAGCGGGAGGAGACATCAGTCCTGCTCGGGCACCCACTCCCTGCGGTGAGCTCTTGTCCCCATCACACTTGGTGGATCATCCCCAAGGTGCTSGTGCCTGCTGGGCTGTTCAGGGTCTCTCTGCCTCCCCTTCTCCTCAGGCTGTTGTTGGTGCTTCCACCATGGCACATTTTATCCAGACTTAGCTCCCCAGGCAGGCAAAGTCCATCCCTAGCGCCTGTGCCTGTACAGCACCGAAGTAATGGAGAACAGATCTTGCTCCCCTTGATAAAGGACAGCAGGACATGTGGTAGAATAAACATGAGAACTGTAGCCTTCAAAACACCCGGCTGCCGGGGGTTATTTTGTTTTCGACAAAAGAAAGACAGATGATTCTTGAAAGTTTAGCAATACAGAGTGGATGTTTTGGTCAAAACTCAATTCTATTTCACCAGTGCAAGCCTGGAAATATGTTCTCAATCTTGATCCAGATTTTGGCAAACTAGCAATGAAAATTTGATCTACTGTGCCCTTGTGAAGACCAAAGTTATTAACTATGACTGCATATGTGATGTGGCAGTCTGAAAGAGCTTTTCCCCCGCCATTACTTGTGACAATTTTTTAAAGCCATGTGTTTTGMCCGGACAGGATGTACTAGCTCAAACGTGCATGCACAGCAGCCCAGCATGTGTGGTACCCTCTCCATGTTCTCAGGCTGCAGTAGAAGTCAATGGGTGGTAGGTTCCCTCATTCTTCTCAGAGGTTGCCCTTGAGAGGGGTTCCCCGAGGGGCCAGTGGAGCACCAAAGAGACAGAGCGATGCCCCAGACCAAGGACCCACACACTGACCCACAACTTCTCTTCCCCCGTGCAGCAGCCCCTTCAACGACAGGCCCATGTGCCGGATCTGCCACGAGGGCAGCAGCCAGGAGGACCTGCTCTCTCCATGCGAATGTACGGGGACCCTGGGGACRATTCACCGCAGCTGCCTGGAGCACTGGCTGTCCTCCTCCAACACCAGCTACTGTGAGCTCTGCCACTTCAGGTTTGCAGTTGAGCGCAAACCCAGGCCCTTGCTGGAGGTCAGTAGATGGGCACGTCCTCCAAAGCTTAGCTTTAATGGGAAAATAATGCCGTTTTCATACGGGAATCACAAAGCTTGCAGCTTCACTGAAGCAAAAGAAAACTGTGAGTTTGGGGCTGTCGGAGACAAGGGCAGGAGCTCAAGGAAGAGAGGAGAATAACAAAACCTTTATCTTGAAGCAAATCAATACAAGCAAGAGGAATGGGATTGACGTTTTTGTGTCACTGTAAATGGGGGAACAGTGTGCAGCAAACACACACCATACCAAGGACCCTGGTAGAGGCTAGTAGAGAGATGTGATGGCACAAATTAACAGTTCAATGCCAGACAAGCCACGGGATTCAGAATATTTTAATACATCCAGAAATCATATTTTGCCTTTCTTTGAGAACCCACAAGCAGGAATTGTTCAGTGTCTGGCCTTTTTAGTAATTCTTAAATGACCTGTTGGCCTCCTCTTGCCCGTGTACCAGACTAAACAGTGAATTGGGCAATTGTTTCTCCCTTATCAGTTTAAATTCAGTTATTGCCAGATCTAGATGTTTTAGTGGCTGCATGATGCTTTCCAGATCAGTTTTTACCCTCAGGGGCAAAAAGAAGATGGCCAAGACCATTATCTTTTCTCTGTTAGTGTTCTTCTCTCCTGTATTTTCAGACAAAAGTGAAATTTGTATTTCCTTTTAGAACCAAAAATGATTTACAAATAGTGWCATTTTATGAAAATAATGAGAAACATCTTAGTGTACCAGTTGGTGACACAAATACTTAAAAACTAGATTGGATTGCATATAACATATCCTTCCTTTACATCCTAATTGTCACTATAAGCTGTAGCAGACTAATTGAAGGAAACATACTAGCAAGAATAAGGGTGCACAGGAAATCTTGTTTTCCGTTTGCTCAAGGACAGGAGGATGCAGAGTGAAAATGAGTGCTAGAAAGTGGGTGAGAGGCTGGTGTGGAGAGTGTGTGAAAAGTCCTTACTGAAAAATACTTTTTTTTTTTGGATTAAGTACAAATTAATTAAGTGCCAAATTAATCCAATTAGGCACACTTTTGTGCCTAATCAAAGGATATTTTTATTATTCTTTGGAATCAGCAATACTGAATTTGGTGCCTGATCCATAGCCTTGCCAAGTCCTAGCCAGGGAAAGCCGGGGCCAGCTCTGCTCCAAGAGCAGCTGCTCTCTGGTGCTCCCAGCACAGCTCCAAGCCCTCCTAGGAAGCTGGTCTTGAGAAATGCTGATTTTGAATGTTCTCAGGYCACTGGTGACTGAATTCCCAAGCCATTTTGGTTGATCCATCTCCTGTAAACATTTTCTTTTGGTCAGCTACTCCAGGCCTTCATTAAATGATTTTCATGAGCAAGTAGGTGGGATTTTGGTGCAAGGACCTAAACCACTTCGCTTGCCTTCAGTGCAAGCAAGGTGAAGACAGCACTAAATAAACAGCTCAGTTTTAGAGTCCAGCCTCTCCAGKCTATTCCCTTACAACTGCCGTGTGCAGTTTCCTTGCAAAATGGAATGTGACTTTTTCAGAGCTAATATCAACTGAAGAATCTGAAAGAAAGAGCTACCCCTGCCCAAACCAGGGAAATCCAGCTGCTTGATGAAGGGAGTTTTCTTTTTGACAAAAAAATCATAGTAAGAAAAGCTGCCTTTGGTTTCTCAGCTGAGGATAAGTGAGAAGCAGGTGCAGGAACATTTTGAAACGTAGTACATGTTGTTAAATTATATTTTTCTCTTTACTACTTTGTATTTTCTGCTTATTGGCTCCCATGGCTACTTTTTCCTTTTAATGCAGTGATCAACAGTCAAGAGCAGTTGCAGGAAAGGTCATAATAAAAGGATACTGCTTTTAAACATTTTACTGAAAAAGTTCTCTGTGGTCTTATKCAAGGAGAATGTTTTTGATTTAGAAAGGAATTTGAGCTGTACTTTCAAAGATGAGAAGAAACAGAGAGTAAATAACATGAATCATAAGCAAAAGGACAAATCTGGGCAGGAAGAGTCATTTCTACTGGTATTACTTAGGCTTGTACTTAGAGTTGTGCTTATTTATACACGTAGTGCTGTTAAATGTGACRCAGATAATCACAGTGAACCTGAAAGTTTGCAAAGCGTAACCAGAGCTAGTGTGGGAGCAGATTCTCTCACTTTGTGCCCTAAAAGCACCGCACTGATCTGTATTGTCCACCAGGTGAGGGAAGAGAGAGCAATACATCAGTCCGAAGAGGTGGTGGGACACAAAAACCTGCTGCAACGTTGGCCCTGGTGCCAAACCAGAGTGAGCACCTGCTTTTGGCTYCAACCTGTATTGGCAGGTGGGGTGGGAGGAAACTGGGGAAGGACAACCAGGTCTCTGCCATTGGCTCTCCCACTGAGGGCTGGCACAGCTCAAAACATGARGCCCCACCAGGGGTGAAGCTGTCTTCTTTCCTCCAAACTAGGCCATGGAGGTGGTAAATCACCCTTTCAGAGGAGGTGAGCGATGAGTTTACCTATGCATTTCAGGGGTTTAAGAGCGACTATTACACTCCAAAAAGTCATTTGTAGAACATAGCCATATAGAAGATTTATCCCATAGTTCCTCAGCAGGCCATATTTCCTAACGAGAAAATATCCCATCTGTTGGTCAGTGATAAGTAGCATAAAAAAGCTTTAAGCAATCAGTCATCATGTGCTTTCTTCTGGAGACTTTCCATCATGGAAAAAAAATGCTTCTGTCTGTTCAAAGAGGTATTATTCACTTTGTCAAAGGAGCCAAATAACAATAACAGAATGTTTTCCCCCTATCCATTTACCTCATAGATCACTGCTCTCATGGAGCTTAGCCGTACGTGTGGGGGAAATCTCAACAGAAACTAGCTGAGATACTTGCCTTGCACCGCCTGGCAGTGTCACATCTGCGAAGGGCTCGTGCCGTTAGCACCCAGGGGATGCCGCGGCAGTAGCGGGCTCGAAATGAAATGAGCAGTAAAAGTGGCACGTCTGCTTGCTCAGCCGTTTTCTTCCCTCCCATGTGTACGTCCTTATGGAGGCAGTCAGGGATTTCTTCCTGCGCTTAGTGATTTCGTCGGAACGCTCTAGTGAACCCACTCCGTTTCTTCCCCCCATGTTGCTAGTTCGCAGTTAGTTCGTTACTACAGGGAAGTGCTTCATAAAAACGCACTTTKCAGTATGGCTTTTTTGCTTCTTGTGAGCAATGTTCACTGGAAGGATGCAGGCCGGGCACTCGCACGAGAGCCCTAGTGCGGGCAGCAGGGACAAGTCCCCAGCTACATCCCACCTCCTGCATAGCTCATCTGGAAACACCGTGACCACCACACACCGTTGCCCTCTCTCAGGTATCCAGGTAGGTTAAAGGTTTTTTTCTTCCCTACCAGTGCATGGTGTGAGTAGAAGCCTAAATGTTTGGCTGGGGGCAAGGGGAGATGTTCTTTCATTTGTATCTCGCCCCCATGAGAGGCTTCTCTGGCTCAGCTGAGTTAGCTGAGCTTTAAGCTACCTGCTTGTCATGAGAGACATCCCTTGATCTGTGACATATTGTGACACTTTACTGTTTAGGTGAGAGGCATATCCCGAGCCGTGTACAGTCTGCTGACTGTCTCGGGCCAGGGTGACAGAAAACGTGGTAGTGCAGTCTGCCAAACAGAGGCATCTCCTCCACCTCAAACGTGGGAAGCTCCTGACATTCTTGGTTCCACTTCCATTTTACTGACCCAAATTCATTTCCCTAGAGAAAACGTCAGGAGTGCCTTGAGTCTAGGAACTGTTTGTCTCTAGAGCCTTCACCTTTACTCTTGATTTCAAAGCTCCTCCTCCAGGAAGCAGGATTGCCTGGAGTCACTTGCATTACAGTCACTTAAAAAGGGTTGTTTGCCAGTAATGCAGAATATGTTATGCACATGCACATTCCTAGTCCATGCACCTTCCTCCCAGCCACAGGGTCACAAAACTATGAAGATCAGTTCAAAAAGAGCACCTTGATACTTGCCAGATCTCATCTCAGCTTTTCTACACGGTATCCCCTGCCTACTGCTGGAAAAAAGAGGGGTCTAAAGCACAAGAGCTTGAGAAGGCAAGTATCTCCTACTGTGAGTGAGCCTAGTCATAGCAAATCCCAAGAAAAGCAGCTATTGGTAAGAAGCCCTGATTCTCAAGTGTCCCAATCACTCCACTGCCAAGGACATCCTAACTACACTTGACACAGGCCAGCTGATGCAGCAGAAACTATGGACACTGAGGGGAAAGAAAAGCAAAAAAAAAAATTATAATGTGTGTAGACAGAATGTTCTTTGCAACAAACCTGGAGGGATCTAAAACAATGCCAGAGAATCTAAACTGCAGCAGTTAGTGATTGTATAGACCTCTCACTATATAAGCCTCTATGACCCTAGAGGTGCTTGAAGTTATTGGTAAAGATGCTTTGGACATATTTCCATGAAAAGCTTAGACAAGCTTGAAATATCCTTCATTTTAATTTCCATATTGCATTTATCTTGCTTGCATTTGGCCTGGTATAGAAACAGACTCAAAACATGGCACTGCAAAGTACTTGGGCTCAATAAAGAGTTGGTAGAAACAACGAACATAAAGATGGCACAGCAACATTAGGCAACCACATAAACCAGACTAGTGCTGTTTGTTTTGCTGCATTTTAGACCAATGTGTATTTGCTATCTAAGGGTTTGACTTTTGGTTTTGAAAAATAACAAGAAAGGCTTTATTAACAATATGAAAAATAAAAATAAGACAAAATGAGCAAAAGAAAATGAAATAAAATCAGGATAAATACCACAATATTGGTTAGAAGTAAGCTGCAATCTTTTCAACCTATTGATGCCTTTAGAGTTCATACTAGAAAAGAAAAGCTAAATAGGCATGACATTATTAGGAAGAGCTTGCACTGCAGTTTAAAACATCAGAAGCCTAACACTGAAACACAAGCCATGCTTTCTACCTAATAGCAGCAGTAGGGTAAACTGTTGGCAGCAAG